GCGCACTGCATCCCCCAGCCCGGCTGGAGCGGGGGTGAGATGTCTGTACCGAGGTGGGAGCTTGCTTGAAGGCTGGCAGGAGAGAGCATGGACCCTCCCCGTTCACCCCGCCACTGGTAAGTGGGCACCCGCATTGCCTTACCCTAAAACATGCCAAACACTGAGTGCTCTGCAGGCGCAGTGGGAACCCCGACACCCCCAGTGCCCAGCTGCCTTACCCCTCAGATGGGGAGCTGGAGGCATTCGACTGGTGCTGCCAGCGTGTTGGGAAGCCCCTGTTCTGTGCAAGGTTTGCGGAGAAGAGACCAAGGGTTGGCTGCAAGGGATATGTGCCACCCACCCCTGGTGAGTCCCCAGGGCTCTACTTCCTCTGTGCCAGGGTACTGGGTGGGTGGCATGGCCATACACAGATCCCCTCTGGAGAGCATCCAGAGGCTGCTCTCCTCCCTGCAATGACACCATCATTTGCTTATTTTCCTTCCCCCAAAATGGCTCCATGTCCTTTGGACCTCAGCTGGTGCCTTTGGGGACCCCCACATCACCACTATGGATGGACTCACCTGCACCTTCAATGGGCTTGGGGACTTTGCCCTGCTGCTGGCTAGCGATGCCCAGACCAGCTTTGTGCTGCATGGGCGCACGGCCCGGACGGGCATGGCTCAGGCCACCAACTTCGTGGCCTTTGCTGCCCAGTACATCTCCACTACCACAACAACAGTGAGTAGAGGAAACCTGGGTATCAGTTTGAGCTTCTAAAGGGAATGAAGAGCACATCCAGCTCTGGAAAATGGCCCCTGGCGCTGAGCCTGTCTGCCAGGGCTGGAGGAGGACAGAGCGTAGCTCAAGTGTCCCCAGCATGTGGGAATGGCAGGAAGGGACAAGCAGAGGGGGTGATCAGGACATCTGCTGTGATTTGCAGGTTGAATGGACCTTGGGGAGCCAGGGTGATATCCAAGTCCTCCTGAACCACGAAACCATCCAGTTTTCCTATTCCCAAGGTGAGCAGGTTGTGCCATTAAATGTATCTGGAGGAGTGATGAGTGTCCCCATCCCCACTCAGCCAGGGTGGACGGATAGCATTCCCCTCCCCACACTCTGGGGCATCATTTCAGATTCCAGCCTTGTGTGGACTATCTCTCTGTGCTCTCCTCTTGCAGACATGGGTGCTGAGGTGTACTACAGCCCCGGTGTCCTGCTGCTCAATGCCTCCTCCGTCATGGCTGTCTTTGACGGGGCCATTGCCATCTCCATCTCAGCTGCCTCCAGGATCCTCAGTGTGGTCTGCAACCTTCCTGATCAATACCACAACAGCACTAAGGGCCTCCTGGGTGAGGACTTGTGGCACTGCTGCAGAGCCAGAGTGTAAAGTCCCCTTCTCACCCTAAAGCAGACGGGAAAACACTGGGGGGTGGGGACTTGGCATATTTATGAAGTCAGGGACCCCTGGGTCTAAACTAAACATGGGCCAGCACCAGAGAGGAGGTCAGCCCTGGGGGGACTTCAATCCTCTGGTGATGCTCCATCAGGAGTGTGGGACCATGACCCTGCAGACGACTTCCAGATGCCAAATGGTACCAGCATCCCTGTGAACAGCAGCGAGGAGGAGGTCTACAGCTATGGTTTGACCTGTATGTTCAGGCTTGGGATCTACCTTGATGATTCCTCTGTTCCTCTGCACCTTCTGGCTACACTTTGGCTGGAGGCATTTTGACACTTGCCTGAGCAAAAGTGATGTCAGGGAATCCTTTGGTCTCCTCACTGCTCTGTGGAAATGAGCCTTAAAATACAACAAACCTTAAAAACTCAGGCCATATCCATGGTGTGCTCTCTTGCAGGGGCTGTTGGAGAGCACAGCCTGCTTGCTCAGCCTCTGGACTTACCGGTAATGAGCTTCACACCCATCTTCTTGTCTCGGCTGCAACAGGAGAATGAAAGCCAGTACCAGCTGGCAGCCTCACAGTGCCATGGCAGCAAGGAGTGCATCTATGATTCGCTGAGCACTGGGGACATGGCCCTGGGCCTGGCCACCCAGAGCTTCTCAGCCAATTTCCAGCAGAAGAAGACAGTACTCAGTAAGTGGAGCAGATCCTCACCTCCAGGAGTTCATAATTTGGTAACTGGGCAGTGCCCTGCTCCCATCCTCTCCTTTCTTACTCCATGTGAGGCAGGAGAAAAGTCACCAAAGTCTTAGAGTTGCATTGCCCAGCTGGCTGGTCTCCAGGCCTGGGAGATGCCACCATGCTGTGCAACACGAGGGCCTTGTCAGTGGGCAGTCATGGCAGCATCTGCTTAGGTTCCTGCCCTCACCAGGAGGGACTCAGAGCCAAGGGGTGCCAAAGCCATTTAGCTACCAACCAGCTGTGTGCTGGGCTGCTCTTTCCTCAGATGCCTTCCCTCCCATCATCACTGGTGATCCATCACTCACAGCCTTCAGAACAGAAAGGGTCAGGAGGCAGTACCGTGCCACGGGGGTGGGTGCACGCTTTGTCCCACACCTCTCTCCAGAGCTCAACATATCAGGTAAGGAAGGAGCGATGAGGCAGCTGGGATGGGATGAGGGGACACTTGGCCACCAGCCCACTGCCACCTTCTCTAACTCCCACCTCTCCCCTGGCAGAGAGTGGCATCTTGACATGGGAGCCCCGTGGGATGTCCCCACTCACCATCAATCTGGAGGCTGTTGGGTCCAACAACCTCTCTGCCCTCCTCCAGCTCCACTTCACACTTTGTAGCTGCAGCAGAATCCAGGAGTATGATTACAGCAACACCGTCACTGTTGGGGGGTCCTCCCTGCAGGTAGTGTGCTGGAAAGCCAATGCCACATTATGTCTGTCCCCACAGCTGTCTTCTCTTTCCATGCATCCTCCTCATGTCCCCTAAGCCAATGTCACTGTCCCCTTGCAGTTGGCAGCCTGCAGGTGTGAAGGCGGTTACTCAGGTCCCTTCTGCCAGGACCCTCCAGACCCTTGTGTCCAGGGATGCTTTCCTGGGGTGCGCTGTGACTCCCTTGATGGCTGTGGCCCCTGCCCAGATGGCCTGACTGGTGATGGGCGGCACTGCTCAGGTGATAAGGGCTTGCCATGGCCACCGGGGCACCCATGGGATCCCCACCAAGGTGCTTCTCCTGGTGCCACACTGCATTGCCTTGACAGATATCGACGAGTGCGCGCAGGGGACAGCGTGCCCAGGGAGCACCACGTGCACCAACACAGTGGGCAGCTACACCTGCTCCTGCCCAGCTGGCAAGGAGGGTGAGTATGAGCTCAGTTCTCACCCCCACTATCCCCTGGGCCTCAGTGGAAGAGGGGTCCCATGGGACCCAAACTGGCAGAGAGAAGAGGGAGCTGGCTGAGCTCTGTACACAAGCCCATGCTGTCCTTCACAGAAGGGATCAGAATCCAGCCACTGCTCAAGCTCCCAGGCTGCAGGTCTCACTATTCCGCTAGGAAGGGAAAATTTTCCCATGCAATTTTTCTCTTTGAGAAAAAAAAATAAATCTCATCCCATCAAAGTTGAAATGCACATGCAGAGGTTGGGGGGGCTAAAATAAATCCTTTTTGCAGATGGCTTAGCAGGGTGAGTGAGTGATGGGATTGCTCCTATTCTAATGCAGCAAGCTGGGATTTCCTAAGGGTGAAAGGCTTCAGCTGGGACGAGGAAGTGCAGGGCTTTTACTTGAGGACCTGAATTTATACTTAAAGTCCTAATGCATTAAAAAAAAAAACCAACCCAAAACCTGAAACTTGCAAGAAAGGCGCTACAGAGCAGCTGGGCATGGCTCAGTGGACTGGGGCTCTGCTTCTGCAGCCAGGCTCATGCCTCAACCTGACCTGCGCTCCCTATCCCGCAGGTGAGGACCCAGGCTGTGGCTCAGCCTGCAGGTCCCGCTCCTGCCCTATGGGATACTGCAGTAATGGGGGACGCTGCCACCTGCACCCCATCACCTGCACTCCCAGCTGCGCCTGCCCCCCAGCTTTCACCGACCAGCGCTGCCTGGTGGCAGGGGGGGATTTTCGGCCATTGTCTAGTGCAGGTGGGTGCCTGTGCCCGGTGGGTGTGAACCCCAACCCTGCTTACCCCAGTGCAGGGGTGCAGAACCACTGCTGTGTTTCCCCCTGGCAGATCTGCCCCAGAGAAGCATCCGGCTGCAGGTCAGGACTCTGCAAAACGCCACTGCCGAGGAACTCAATGGCACTGTATGTCACCGAAGGGGATGGGCTTGGGGAGGGGGATGCACCGGCACACCAGGCAGCATGGCAGCTTGCGGTGCCCATGCCTCCACGCACTCCCCTCCAGTGAGATTCACAGGGATCCAGCAGATCCACGGGGCTGGAGGGAGGTGGCACCAGCCATGTGATTCTGGCTGCAGCCGTGTGCCAGGTCCTCAGTGTGTGAATGGAAGGCCAGAGCAGCAACTGGGGCTTGGCCACAGTGCCCACACTGCCCTTCAGCCTCTGTCTAATGCAATTCCATTCCTTCCACCACAGGTCTCAGCCGTCCTGGGCTCCCTGGAGACAAAGGCTTTCCAGAGCAACACCAACATCACCCAGATGTGAGTTAGCTGTGGAGCAGCCCCATGCCCACCCCAGAGAGCCAGCAAAGCAAGGCTGGGCATGGGGCCATGGGGTTTGGGGCACAAAGGGCAGTTTCACCCACCAGGCCTGATGCCAGTAAACCCTTGGAGACACAAGCCTCATGGCATCTTCCATCTCCTGCCTCATTCCTTCTTTATCATACCCCAAATGGGGAAACTGGGACACGGTGAGGCTCAGTCACTCTGTGATGCAGCAACAGCTCCGCCAGCAGCCCCATCTTTTCCCTGCAGGACAGAAGACAATGGCTTCACCTTCGCTGTGATGTCCAAGTTCACCTATGACAGCCGCGGCACCACCATCCAATTCCTGAACGAGGAGCTGCCGGGGGCCATCATTGGTGCCTTCAACAGGCGCTGGGGACAGCAGGAGGCAGGCACCCACCTCCTCTTCCAGCGCCTGCATCAGGACAACGTCAGTGACCTGGTGAAGTGTGAGTTGCAGGGGAGCCCAGGAGGAGCACCCCGCTGTCCCCATTGTCCTCATCACCCTATATTCCCTGGGGTTCATGTAACAACCATAGGGAAGGCAGGTGGGCAGCAGTCCTCAGGCATGGATCCAGCTCAGGGAGACAAGGGGTGATGAATCCGTGCTTTCCCTCCCCAGTGACAGTGGCTGAGCTGAGACAATATTTCCTCTGCGGTCTGTACGGCTACAAAGGATACCAGCTCCACTATGTGGGGACCGTTGGCTTTGTCTGCGTCTCCCCTTGCAAGATGGGCTACTGCCAGCATGGTGGCCAGTGCCAGCACCTGCCCGAGGGTCCCACCTGCAGGTAGCAGCAGCACTGGGATGGACGAAGCCACCTGGCATTGTTGCTTCTCCCCACAGCATCACCTCTCATCTGTCCCTATCCGCAGCTGCCTGCCCTTCGCCATATTCTCCCCAGCTGGTGCCCGGTGTGAGCAGCTGGCCATCAGCTTCACCGGCTTCCTCAGCATCTTGCTGGTAGTCCTGGCTCTTCTCTGCCTCCTGCTCGCCATCGTCTGCCTGGCCTCACACCTCGGCAGCCAGCAGTGCCGCCAGCACCAGGGGTGAGCCATAAGCTGGACCACAGGGGTGGGTGCTGTGGGTGCAGCAGGGAAAGGAAGTTGGGTGTCAGCAATAAAAACTGGTGGAAAATCCATCTCTGGAAGATCCACCACTGGTGGGACCCATCTGGCCTGGGCAGGGAGAGCCTGCCATGGGGAAGAGGGTGGGCTGGGTGATCTTTTAGCATCTTCAGACCTTTTCTGAGTCCTCTGCAGCTCAGAGGTACGATAACATCAGTGGGTTGAATATTAGCTTCCCTTTTTCCCCCGTATCAGGGAATAGTTGCATTTCTTCCTCATCCCACCTGGTGCTCAATTACAGACAGGCTTTCTATTTCATTTTAATTTAAATGCCATCCAAATAATTTCCACTGCCATTCACATTTGTCTAGAAAGAATTGGTCAGGAGCCAAGATCAGGCAGGGGCTCTCCCAGCCTCCCCTGACATGTCAGCCCCTTTCTTTTCTCCCCTCCCAGGGCCAGGGACACCTTCTGGAGGCCACGGCCCTTCTCCTGTGAGTACAACCCTGCATGCAACACCTCCTCACACCAGCTCTGCTTCACCCCCGTCTTCTTTGACCTCTGATCATCTTCCCTACTCCAGCTCTGACAATGTCAGGAGAGCAAGCAGAGCCCACCTACTCTCACTCCATGGAAAGTCTTTGGGAACTGCAGCTCCAGCCCATTGACCCCTTAGTCCAGGTACACTCAGGGGTTATTGTCCCTGTGGGGGGTCGGGATGGGGGGTCATGGGCTGGAGGCAGATGTGCTAGCCCTATGCCTTCAAGATGCTCATGAGCTGTGCCTTGTGCCAGAGCATCACAGATGCTTTGGCTGGCACTGGTGTCAGTGCTGTTGAGCTTGTCACAAAGAGCAGCACCAACAGAACAGTGTGGCTTGTCCCTTCTTTACAGATGAGGATCCAGAGACCCCACATCAAGCCTCAGAGCCAGCCCCCCCAGCAGCCTTAGCCTGCCACTGGGCCTGCCCCAGCACCTCTGGGCTCATGGAGGAGCCAGCTGCTGCTTCCAGCCCCACCACCCACTCTCAAGGTCTCCAGCAACAGCACCTGCGTGGAGGCAGGGGACTGACAGCTGTCCTTTGGAGCCTGGTCTTTGTGGGAGGACTCATTATGGAGGAGATGCTTTTAGTGAATGAAAGATGTGTGTTTACATTGGGTGGCGAAAGCAAGAGGATTTTACCTTTCACTGAGGACCTGCAGAGGCAATCAGGATAGTCCTCGAGTGTGTCTGCACTGGGGTATGCTCTAGTGCAACATACCCAGACCCAGCAGAGCCACTGGTAGAGTCAGGTGGGGCAATGCAGTGGTTATAACCCATTAGGAACAAAATAGAATAAATCAACAATGATGGCATGCTGCTAAGTCGCCTGCACCCCATGGTGCCCATGTGCCAGCCCTGCTTCCTCGTGACCAAGCTCTCTACTTCCTGTTTTCTTCTGGTCCCATTCATAGGACCAAAGAGATGGATGTAGTTTTTCTGGTCACTCCATCCCCTCATTCTCCCTACAGAGCTGCAAGTTTGCCCTCGCTGCTCTCCCCAGGTACCACTAACAGTGGCTCAGATCATGTAGGTTGGGCTATGGTCCCCACAGATGCCCCTGCTGAGGGAACATGCTGTGCACAAGGAGGGTGTGTCAGACCCCGGCAGACCCCAGCTCCAGCCCCATGTCCCTAGAGCCTGTCTTGGCCTCAGCCTGGACACTCACATCCCCAGCACCAACTCCAAGGGCAGAAGCATCCTGTAATCCTGCTGCTCCAAGCCTGCCTCCACCACTGCCTCCCATCCTGGCTCAGCAGAGGACATGGCTACTGCAGGATCAGTGATGCTCAGACCCCTAGGAGGCTTTATTGAACAAACAAGATTGAAAAGGGTTTATTTTTATTTTTATTTTTTTTTTTTAAGAAATGCAGGTGCTCTTTTATACACAAAATAATTAGTTTTTTTCCCAATTCCTGATCATGAGATTGCATTTTGCCCTCGCATACCCAGCAAAGGTATGGGGGACAAGACAGGACCAGCTCATGGGGTGAGCCTGGCATACCATGGCACTTGGGGGCTTGGCCACAGTCAACCCATGCAAGGTGCAAAAACCCCTTCCCTAGGTGCCAGGGGTCCAACCTCCCCCAGCAGCATGGAGGCACAGTGGGATGTAGGGGGAGAAAGAGGTGGTTTATGTGGTGAAGGGTACCTGCCCATCTCCTGCCAGCAAGGAGGTGCTCATGGGCACCCACTCAGCTGCAGCTGGGGAAGGGCAACTAAAGCTACAGGTTCTTGGGACAAGTCTGGGTTAGAAACATGAACTTGTGCCGGTGAAGCAGGCACTGGCCAGGTGAGCTGCCTTGTGTGGTGGGCAGGGTGATGGGTGCTGGGGGAAGTGCAGGGACACAGTGGATGAGCAGGAGCAAAGGACTCGGAGGATCAGACGTGGCCCAGACCATGCTGTTGGTGTGCAGCCCCACAGTTACTCATCCTCTTTGCCTGCAAAGAAGAAGAAATGAGAATTGCTCAGCCACCTTCTCCCTGGGGCCCTAAGGTAAGCTGAGAACCCTGAAGGAGTTTCCACACAGGGGGACAGGGACAGGAAAGTGGCCAGCAGAGAGGAGACCCCCAATCCTGCTCACCTCTCTGCTCCTCTGAGTAGCTCTCTGACTCCTCTGAGGAACCTGCTGGGGTTGCAAGACAGCCCCACATCAATTTACACCAAATACACATTAGCTGCAATCCTCTTCCCCTCCCGGTGTTGTCACCCCCAGACTACGCTGGTGATTATGTGCTGAGGGAGAGGCAGAGATGCTCCCTGCAAGCCTGTACGGCCCAGGGCACAGCACGGCCTGCATGTGGACATCCCAAAACCTATCCCTCATCTGCCTGGGGCTCCTGCTGCCTTAACAATGGGGTGGCTGGGACGTTCCTCTCTGCAGGCCTGGGCACCAAGGCAGCATCATCCCAGCACACACAGGCTGCAAACCCACCCGTGCCAGGCAGCTGATATTCGTCACAGCCAATCTTTGGTCTCTTCTCACTGTAGCGGGCGCAGAGGTGGGCGCTGCCAGCTTGGTTACAGCACCAGTCATAAAACTTCAGCTCCTGATCTGGAGGCAAAAAGGAGAGTAAGAGGCTGAAGGGGACAGGAGAGGGAGTAAGAGGCTGCCTCTGGGCAGGCAAGGTGCTCGCCTCAGCTTTTGGCAGGTTCACACTCCCTCCAAGGGCAACAGCATGTCAGGAAAGAGGTTGGTATGGAGATTAAAATTATTTAAAGGCTACAGCGATGCCAGCCTCAGCCAGGGTATGCCAGGGTTGGCTGTGCTTACCACGGTAGGGGGACGCCTGCCTGAAGGACCTCCAGTACCTCTCCTGCCGCCCCTCAATGAGCTGGTTCTGGCTGTCGTACAGGCAGCGGATGCCAGCACCGTGCTGGTTGGGAGAGGCGGAATGCAGCATGGAGACACGGGCAGCCCACCAGCCTGCAATGGGGTGGCAGTGAGCCTTAGCACAGCTCTCCCCAGCCAGCATCCTTGCCTCAGGGCAAGGAGTAGGGCTGGGGCTTGCTCCTTGTTATCCATCACTCCCACTGCATCATCCATGGTGCTATGGGGGTTTGGAGGGATTGACAGAGACCATCCAAGTGGTGCCCCAGGGTGAGACCCAGCTGCTGGTGCAGGGTCCATCCCCACTGTCCCCATTCAGGTTAGATCAGCTCCATCCAGTCTAATAAGACACGGGCAGGTCAGGCCTTGTTCCTCCTCAATTTCCCTGTCTCTGCAGGGAAGGGCAGCCCCCCATCCCCATTTTCCTTGGGGTCATCTGCCCTTCCTGACAGCAGGGACACCAGCCACCCTTGCAGGGGACATGGGAGGGACAGTTTGGGCACAAGGACAGGAGGGATGTGGTGTGTCCACTTACCTCCATGGCTGCTCTTGAAGCGGGGGTCCTGCTGTCCTTGCTGCAGGGAGCAGGGGCAGGTGGGCAGGCCCTGGCTCCATGCCCGTGGCTCCTGCTGCCGCCCCGTCCATGCCAGGCACTTCAGCCGGTAGTTGACACCCACACGGCTCTCCAGCTTGTAAATCCACAGCCCACGGAGGTCTGAGCAGGGACAGAAACCGCGAGCTGCCACCTCCAGCCAAGGGGACCACAGGGGCAGCTTTGGCTTGAGGCAAGAGCTGAGTGTGATGATGCTGGAAGCTAAGCCCATGTTGTCCCTAGCCATGGGAATCCATGCTTAACAGCCACCCAACTGCAGGAAAACGGGGAGAGGCTCTTGCCAAAGAAGAATGCCCTGGGTCAGAGCCATTACAACAAAAAGGATGTGTCTTGATGTGTCCATGGACACATCAAGAACATTTCAGCCTCAGGGTACCCAGTGGTACCTCTTGTCTCTAGGGACCTCCTAGCTGGTACCCAGGGGAAACATTTTATGCATTTGGGCCACAACAACCCCACGCAATGCTACAGGGCTGAGGAAGAGTGGCTGGAAAGCTGGTCAGCAGTAAAGGACCTTGGGGTGCTGACTGACAGAGTTGAACATGGGCCAGCTTGTGCCAAGGCAGCCAAGAGGGCCAATGGCATCTTGGCCTGTGTCAGCAATAGTGTGGCCAGCAGGGCCAGGACAGTGATCATGTCCCTGTACTCAGCGCTTGTAAGGCCACATCTCAAATCCTGTGTTCAGTTCTGGGCCCCTTACTACAAGAGAGACATTCTGGTGCTGGAGCAGGTCCAGAGAAGGGCAACAGAGCTGGTGAAGGTTCTGGAGCACAAGTCTTATGAGGAACGGCTGAGGGAACTGGGGGCTTTTAGTCTGGAGAGAAGAAAGCTCAGGGGACACCTTATCACCCTGTACAGCAACCTGACAGGAGGTTGTAGTGAGGGGGGGTCAGTCTCTTCTCCCATGTAACAAGTAATAGGACAAGAGGTTCCTCCTCAAGCTGCAACAGGGGAGGTTTAGACTGGATATTAGGAAAAATTTCTTCACAGAGAGGGCAGTCAGGCATTGGAACAGGCTGCCCAGGGCAGTGGTGAAATCATTGTCCCTGGAAGTGTTCAGAAACCCTGTAGATGAAGCCCTCAGTGACATGATTTAGTGGTGGTCTTGACAGTCTCAGGATAATAGTTGGACTTGGTGATCTTAAATGTCTTTTCAACCTAGTTGCTTCTATAATTCTATGTGCCTGGGGGGAAAACCTGGCTTTGGCGAACTCAGTGGGAGGCTTGCCACAGTGGCAGGCTGGATTTCATCCCCTGGGAACATCCTTCTCCCCACGCAGCTCTTCCCCAACCCCCTGAGAGGCTGCATGACCCCCCCTGGCTGTGTGGCACTTACCTGTGTTGTAACCCCTGAACTGGTCAGGGCGATATTTAGCAGCTGAAGGTCTCTGAGTCAGGTCATCATTGTGGTAAAAACCATCCCCACTGCATGCAGAGGAAAGGGGAAGAATCAGGGGTTGCTCTTCCTGTGCGAGGTTATCACAGCCCCAGCCTGCCCTTCAGCCGCTCTGATCATGAGCCAGTGGGACCCCACAGCACCCAAATCACAACTCCAAGGACAAGAAGGCAAAGGTACTAGCTA